CCATTTACTGTGTGTTTACGAAAAAAGTTTACACGTAAACTAAACGGTTGGAGCCTTAGTTCCAATATGAAACGTGCGCAATGACTCAGCAAAGTTGTCGACGTCCAAGTCGCTCGCGGCTTCAATTTATCACCAACTGTTGTTTACGATCCTCTATTGGGCTGGCATGCTGCTCGCAACAAGGTCTTCGTAGCACACATGGTGTTTGTCGGACAGGCTCGTGACGCGCTATCATAGGGTCTAGCTGCCAGCCTGCCACTGTTCAACAGTGAGGGATTCGATAGTTTCATGGCACTGGAAGGGACTCGACTCATGCCTAGTATCAACATTCGGGTTCGTCCTTGCCATCGTGCCGTATTGATGACTGACCCGTCGATGCCATCACAGAAGCTTAAAGTTGTGTGCATGAAATGCATATTCCCCGGCAAGTCACTGGCTGCGGTCTCCGTTTCTCGTAACGTGCATGCCATGACCTCTCTGCCGTCCCTTGTGACGTTCAGTGCTTGCCGGCAGGTTATTGGAATTTTTACGGACGCGACTGCACGGTGGCTGGATTTCGACTAGTTAGCCATCGAGTATGCGCAAGTGAACTCTCCCTAGATGCTTGATTACGCCGTCTGGTTCATCGTATTCGTTGCCGCGGCTCCAGCCCGGACAGGGAGATGTCGATGCTGTGCAGCGAGAAAGATTAAAAATGCTCCTTCTGCTGCCAGTTCGGCAACATCTGACCTTTGCGCGACCTGCGTCGAGTTCCCGAGCGGGATGAATTCTCCGCCGTCACAGCAGCTCTTCGCGCATGCCATCCTGCGGCAGGCCTTCAGCCTCCTGCGCCTTAGCAGCCCTGGGTTATTCAAGGCGGCTGCTATAGACGTCGCCCTCCTATCTGTGCATCCTCAATCATCAGAGGACTAATTCCCCGCCCTCATAGCACTAGTGTGGTGCATCCTCAGGTGAGTGATTGTCTGGAACACCTCGTAACTCTATCTCTAACGCTTTCATGCAGACCCAGCCGCCGCTTCCCGATGTGCCAAGCATTTGGCGCAGTGACCTGCGTGCTGCTCTACATTATGGCGATGGTATACGTCGAATGCATTGTTCAGTGGCTGATGCTCGAGCCATAGAGATGAGACGGGTGGTTGGGATCTTGGTATATGAGCACGGTGTAAAGTAGAGGAGGATTGGTCATACGCTCAACTCATGTAACAAAATTCCCCCAGATACCGTACTGATAAGCTTACGAATGTCCGAGGAGTAAGGCCGGGTCTGATGCAGACATCTTCTAGCTCAAAGTATTATATACATATCCATGAATCTTCACGTGCCCGGAGAGTCCGTTGCTAGCGGTGTCTGCCCGTGGTCCTGGTAGCCTCGCAACCGCCACGACTCGCAGGGCTCTGTGGACAAGCCGCGATCGAGAGAGGGTCTGATCAGCTCGGAGACATACTTTCTGGTGCAGTAATGTGTACTAGGGCTCGTGAACAGGAGGCTATCCTGAAGCGCAACGACGGAGGCGTGTGCATCCCGGGCCCGCGATTCACCATACGAGGCACGTAGGCAATAGCTTCAAGTTCAGCAGGACGTACCGTGATAGCGACAGAGTAGTCATTGCAAGGGCCTCGACCAGCATGTGCTTTCCAAGGCGAGTAGGTGGCTGGCCGCAGTGGAAGTCTAAAATTTGATCCTGGAGAGGAGTCAGAGGACTGCAAAATAACTGGTTGTAGAGTCGCTATAACCTTCGCCAGGCTTGTACGAGAGATGCCCATGTGTATGTGCGCTGCGCTCTGAGCACACCTTTCCACTCCGCTTCAAGTTTTCAAAACATCAAAACTACGTTCGGCACATAGCCACGGCGTCGGAGAAGATGCAGCAAGAGACACAATTTTCGAGGAGCCAAGAGACGCTGTGGAGGATGTTAGGCGACAGCCAAACATAGCGGGAACCTCGCCGCTACGTACGAGGAGTATTACAAGGCCTCTGATGTGGGACGGTAAGGCTGCTGGCGTTGGCAGCGACTCGGCCGGCACGCCGTTTCCTAGCATGTCAAACACGGCGAGCGTGTCAGCCTAAGAGCGCACTACACGAATCCATGCTACAGCACCAGCATGGTGTGACAGACAGCAACTTGAATGCGGGCAATTTCTTCCCCATTTTAGGTAGTGCAGAGCGAAAATGGCAAAAGTTAGATAAAATGCCGAGGCCAAGTTGTGGCGTCTATCGCCTTTAATGTTAAATATTAATGCGAGCACTTGAAGCTCGCCTGACTTCGCTCTTTCTTGCTCCTCCACGTTCACCATGAACAGTCCTTTGCTCTCCAGCAGATGCATCTACGCAGAATCTTCTGCGGAAGATGGCTCTGATATATCCTACGCTTCGCCTAATATGTCTTGCTCCCTGCATGTTGCCGCTGGCGTAACACTGCGAACAGCATTTCCTTACATACCTCGAGCCGAAGTATCACCATCGTATCCCTCGCAGAGCTCATAAGGCTACCAGACCTGTACTTTTCGAGGCATCGACCGGGAGGGAGAGTTATTGCTCGGAAGCATATCGCGAGGCCGGCGGCTCAGGTGCGCATACACACTCACTCTCAGTCGACTGCTTTTTGACGGTCCACAGTATGACATGCTTAACGCAGTGCCAAACCAGATGATAGCCCTTTCAGTAACAATCCGCTACGCGCCGTGGCCGAGATCTCTGGGGCGATGACGGGCATCCGTAGAGCAATCGAAGGCTCACAGGCGCAGCGGGAAGGATGGTATTGGAAGACCGCGAAGTACACGTTGGAGGGTGATCGGATGTGTTTGATGTCGATCTCAAGCCTCGATCCGTTCACAAGTGCCCATGAGTGGTGGCAGGAAGTGCATGGGAAGAAGAACAAGTCGAATCTCCAGGACCTCAGGATCTCATGCGACGCTGAGCGTGACATCATTTCGTTGAAGAGCAAGGCCATGAAGTTCCGCGTGGCCAGTGGTCATCTGTCGTTCAAGCCGATGCTATTTTGCAATATCCGACAGAACCGTACGTCCATCAGGCTCTTGAAAAAACCGCGCTTCTCACACAGATATTAGGGCCAGTAGAGCTCGATGTTCTGCAGAGACGCAATCTCTTCGCGTCTCTGTTGGTTTAATACGCTCGCGACCACGTCCTGGCGTCACTCCTTCCCAGCTCTCAGGAGACACCGGCTTAGACTCGGCCAGATGTGCAAGCTGTCGAGATGCAAATCCATTCATCGTTGCAGAGCGTTTTGAACAGCTTTCTCCTCGGCGTTCGCATGGTCATCGGTAGCACTGACCGGATGTACTCGATGATCCTGTCGCGGGCGGCATGAAGCATGTGAAGATCTTTACATGGCGGTCGTTCAAGAGCGACGAGTATATGTATGTCCACCCTCTCCCTGTGGGCACGGCCGTCTCGTACTCAATTTGTTTCGCAGCACCGCATAGCATCAGGTCGTACTTGGATCGCTCGACGAATTAGGAGCCCGCGCAAGTCCTTCGCTCTATGGGCTCGGAGCCAAGAAAAAGTGACAAGTAGGCGATCGCGATCTGCAGCAAAATGCATCACTGCTTGTATCGACGTTCACCTTCCCCAAGAGTCCTTCATCGTAAACTCGGGCGACATGACGTCCAAGCCGGCTGCAAGTCTCGGCGGGCCTGTGTTGCCTGCTATGGTGCCGTCTTCTCTGCGACGATCACCGTGTTCGAGCCAGTGGGTACGCCAGCGACGGTGTCAGCCTTCACTCCTCGTCTCGAAGTCCATGCCTTCCCTACCGCTCGAAGCCAGCATCCGAACGTCTTCGCCCTTCTTAATCGGTCGCGGGATGATGGCACTCTGAGGCTAATCCTCGCTTACCTCCACCCGAACGCCTTTCACTCTCCTTTCCTTCCCTCCGCAATCAGACATCTCCGCCAGCTGGCGCAAGTGCCCCAGCTCCGCATCCTAGCCACGAGGCCACTGTGCCTGCCTTGCGCACTCAACGACTCCGAGGAAGGCGAGAAGAATGCCGAGGCGTCTGCCCAGCGCGGCGCGAGCACAATGAGCACCGCGAGCGCGCCAGAGGGCTTCGCGGTGCCGCGCAGTCTGCTGCGAACGCCGATTCCTGCTACGGCCGGCGCAGCTCGGAGTAGATACCGCATGGTAGCGCGACCAGTTCTCGCTTCCCGCGGTCGTGACTCGCACTACACCGGTGACAACGAAGTTGAACGCCATCGGCGAGGGCGGGACCAAGCGCCGGTCGCTCTCGCTCGAGAGCCGCAAGACGAACGCCATCGAGTCCGCGTGGAGCATCGCTTCACAACTGCTAGTATCACTTTGGCCTCAGCTATAGTCGTCTGCCAGGAGGCTTTGCTGTCTGACGGCTCACACTTGGCGGGCGTCCTTGCACTGCGATTTTCACCGTAGATGAGGTGGATCAACGCCATGGCATTCATGTAGTATCACTTGTATGTATGGCGTACATTTATAATACATTTGCTTTCAATGCAGCATATTCCTGTGCTACTGGAACTATGGTCCATCTATGCGCGAAGGCGTACAACATCCTGAATACATTATTGTGTGC